TGAGTCTTGGTGTGTTCATCGTCTGAAGGAGGCTGCGACTTGGTTGTGACTGAGCCGTCAGGCCTTTCGCTGACGGTCTCGGTGCAGGTGACTGTGACCGTCTCAGGTGGAGGGGCAGAAGAGCCCTGGCTGGCGTAGAACGTCTCGGTAATCGGTGAGCGGGTGACGGTGAGGGTGAAGGTCTGGGAGGCTGTGATAGTCTCTCTGATCACTGGAGCAGTCGCTTCAACAGTCTCAGTCTCAGTTTTGGCAGTCGTAGTGGTGGCAGTGACTGTCACGGTGCTAGGCTCCGGCGCAGGCACACACGGGCAGGTGTTGGTGTCTGGGTAGGTGCGTGCCCTCAAGTTCTCGGGCCTGGCAGCGGCGATTGCAGTGAAGGAGAGGATAGCCGCAGCCACAACGTTGCCTTGACGAAGCATTGTGATGGCGAAGTAAGAATTGATGGGCACTTTAGGCAAGTTGAAAGTTCCAGAAGAGGCTCAGTAAGACGAAAGGATGGCGTATAAGCTGGTGCGAGGCCGACCGTTTGTTGAAGACTTGCTTGTCTGTTTTGTCTGAGTGAAGCTGTTACTGCTGATGAGAAGGTGTGTCCATGAGGACACGAGACTCCTTATATGGCAGTCGTTCAGTTGGATCATCCTCAAGGAGGACACAGCAGGCCTTGACAGCCTTGCTGAGCTTCATGATTATCCATCATGGTGGAATGACGCTGCCCTGTATTGCGACCTAGCGCTTGACGAACAGCAATAGAGCTTGCCACGGCTTTGAGAGAACAGCAGACCGAATCCTTCAGACGGCCTCAAGAGGGATGTGAAAATTGCGTCACATTTCTCTCAGATACAGTCCTGTCGCTCACTTGAGCCTTTGCCTGGTACTAAAAGAGTAAACAGCAGAGCACTTGCGGCCAAAGCAGGGGTTTCACAGAATCAATAGTGTGTGTGGTCAAAACGTCCCAAGGGACCAGGGAGAAAACCAATATTGAAGAAGATCAAAGCACCGATATTGAGATACACGTTCCAAGGGATGCTTCCGCTCCCACCCTCTGGCCGATGAGCCGATAAGATACGGCATCGGCATCTTCGCACCGGGGAAGACCACGAGTCGCACGACGATGGCAACAACGATGCGATACCGATGGATCAATCTATTTTCCGGTGGAGATGGCTTGCCAGGACAGAGTCAAAGACCGTGGCTCCGATCCAGTACGTACCAATTGGGTGTTCGGCGGTTGTCCGGTGCAAGAAAGCGATGGCCAGTTCGGGATGTTTGCAAGGTCCAGGTTCCAAAGGCTTTGCCGGGTCTCTTTTCCAACAGTCTGGAAATCGTCCCAAAGACTGCAAACTCGATGGAGACCTCGGCGCTGGCCGTCCCGTCCCGCTGTGGGGCCCGTCATCCCGGCATCTCTGATTCTCCGGGCTGCCGAGGCCGACCGCCTGCCCAAAGCGGGACGTCATTCCATCCTCGCAATCTTGTGTTTTCTGCCAACCGCATCGCAATCAAAACACGCGCCATCAACCAAGCATCTCGAGCCTAGCGTCTGGCTATCGTTCTGCAGCACGAGGCTCTGGTGGCATAGCTACGTCCATTCCTTTTCCATGCGAATTTCTACTTGAAGTAACGACCTCCGACTTGCGCGCGCGCTCCCGACTGCTGCGCCCGCAACCACGCAACCTACGACGATTACGGCGACGAGGGGCAACCGGATCACTCGATCGTGATGGGTGCTTGTGCGTCATGCCTTGGGCGGGGGAACAAAGACGTCTATGACGAGGTGGGTTGCGTTGCACTTCCTCGCCCACTTGACAGGGTAGTATGCAGCGGCGGCTAACTAGCCCTCTTTTTTCTCCTCTCTCCAGGACGAAGAATCACGACTCCTCTACGACGATCCGAACAACGTACACTATGGAAGCTTCGGCGAGCAAAGCGTGAACGGCCAGGAGGACCCGATGGAGGTGCAGCGGGAGACTGAGGCTCTGCAGCGAGTTGTAGCAAAGACATCCGAGTACGTACTGCGGCCTGCGTTCTGTGCACTCCCCTCCGACGACGACCCAAGCTCCGGGACGGCGGGCTTGGTCTTCATGTCCCTCCCAGGAATGCTAACATCGGTCTTCCTAGCAACATGGTCGACATCTTCGAGATTGCCCCGCAGGATCACGCACATCGACCTGCACCGACTACGTTTGCGTATGCAGGGCAGGAAGCCCGCATCGTACGGTACCAGCACTTGTTGTCCAAACTGGATTCCAAGGATGAGACCCCAACAGGTGTCCAAGTGGATTGGCTTCCCCAGGAAGACGACACAATCGAGATGCAACGCGGCGTTCCGACCGTCAAGACAGAGTTGGACAAGCCCCTTGTTGGCACATTTGCAGATGCAGCGGCGGCCATGGCATGACATGCGCCAGGTCATGAATCATTTCCCTTGCCCAATATCTGCTCCCGTTTTTGATCCAGTTTTGCACTGCATTTTTAACCCACGGCGAGAGCGGCTATGCGTTTCCCCTTTTCTGGTTCCTGTATTGCTACTTAGTTTCGGATTGGTCGACATCGAGCCCTGGGTCCTGTCGGTATTACGGCAAACATGGGACGGACAGCTTGGAGTGACGACATTTTTTGCCCATGCTCTTCATTTTTACCCCCTCGATACCCCCTCTTCGAATGCAGGCTATGCACACACAAACTCAACGCTTTTCAACCACAAAAAAAAATACCCACACGTACACCCATAGGACACCCACATTCTCTCACATATCGCTTCCTCTTCACTTTGTTAATCCCCTGTATTGGTCTGCCACCCCTGTATAAAACGCCTGGGCAACAACGAGGTTATGAGGAAAAGGTGGACACGATGGGCCCCAGAAACCCATGACTTAATCAATGAAAATTCCCTCCATCCCACTTTGGCGGCCCCCTGGTTCGCACCATGTCGGGCCAATGACTGCGTCTCGAAGATTCTTCAGCGGCAGGCCATGGGTTGACTAGCCCATTGAAATATGGCCACGTGCACCTCCGGCTGATGTTTACCTTTTCTGGTGTGGACCCTTTGGCAAGGGATGTTGTCCCATGGTTGGAGGCGTAGCGTTCTTAGCCTCGATTCGGACCAGCATTCGAGGCTGGAGGGCAGGTTACGTCTTAATAGAGGGGAAACAGGAGGGAAGCACTTGGAGGCTCACATATTCACTCTGATGCCCGCCATTCAGGGTTGTGCGGGAGTCTGTGCGGTTCCCGAGTCTTATTGGCGGAGATGAGACAAGGAAATGGTGCCTTGAAGTGAAGTGGGATGGACGACATGAAGATGAGGGGTGGTTGCTGCGGCCAGATGGGGCGGCCTCCCAGTCCCCGTCCCAGTCCCAGTCCATCAAGCCCGATACAACCCACCTCGCTCTGTGTCGCCCGTCTCAGTCTCCGTCGCTCCACCCTAAGCCCTTTTTTTCTGCTCCTCCCGCTCCTCCCTCCACTTTGGCCTTGGGTCAGATGACAGGTACCTGTCAGTGGTTTTCTCTGGGTTATTCGACACCTGCAAAAGGTAAAAGGGGGGGTAAAATCAAAGCCCCGGGGGCTTATTCAGTACCGGGATTGCTTCACTGCGCCTGCCTCAACCACGACACTGATGACACGTGAGAAACGATGACGATGACGTTCCCTTGAAGACTAATAAACGGCTTTTCTCCATGCAGAAGGAGGGGTTAGAGCGAGGCATACCGCGGGCGCGCAGCACAGCACAGACGAAGAATGCCTGCCTGCCTGCTGGACGAAGCCGACGGACCGCTCTTTTGGCCTGGCCTGGCCTGTTTTGCTCTGTAACTTGGCCAGATCGACGCAAGACCGTCTGTTGTCCTTCGCCTCTAGTTAACGACATGGCCTTCTCATTCGTCGCCAGAGACCGCTTTCTGCAACGCTTGCTTGCCTGATAAGCACGCCAAAACCTGCTGGATGGGCAGCTGTGCAGGAAAAAGTGGGAGGACCGCCTACTTTGATCCCCTCAGTCGCGCGTTGAAAGGCAAGACCGCCTCGCCGCTCTGGTGTCATTCGACTTTCATGGTTGTCATCTGTACCTGTTTGGGCCGGGCTTGCGAGGAATGGATTTACCGTCGGCAGAGAATGATGAAGAAACGGTCAGCACCAAGGAGGAGTAGGAGGAGTCGGAGGAGGAGCCCGCAGCATGAGGCGCAAGACAGGTATCCGTTCTACTAAGAGGGGACCCTGCAAGTTGTCCCTGTCGCCGTCTAAGCGGCGGGCCGGATTTCGCGACGAAATAAACGTAGACCAGCCTTGATTCTCTCTCTGCTCCTGGCGCGCACGCACAGAATGTCCACAGCGACTGACACACTTCTTTTTGCGCGCGCGCGCGCACACACACAAATTAATCTTACAGAATACGGTCCATCCTATTGATGATCATGATCCAAAAGTAATACAATAGTTGCCAACCCAGATTTTCCACTTTCCACTGTCTTGAAATTTTGCAGAGAGAAAAAGGACCGTCCCGAGCGTAACCACACAGGAGACCAAAAACAAAAGGTGAAAACTGCAGCGAATGAACGGCCGTTACGTGGTTGAACTTGGGAAAAACCCTCCAAGCTAGGGTTACCAGGAAAACCTCCTCTCCAGTCCCGCAGTGTCAAAGTCATACCTCTCTTTCCCCCTTCTTTTCTCACACCGGCATTCGACTCTTGGTTCCTTCCTTTTTCGTCGTTGATAGGTATCTCCCGCGTGAAGATCAAGGAGCCACTGATATAATCATATTAGCAAAGGTCTTGCGCGACTCGGCTTACCCCTGAACAACTTTCAACTGGACCCCCATCTCACCCGCATGGGACCAAAAAAGGTACAAAGTGCAACGATAAAATCAGAGATTGAAAAAAGAAAAAGGCCAAGAGCAGAAGGGGGAAAATGCGACGAAATTCAGAAAGAGGGCTTGGATCATGTCCAACTTACCAATCCTGGAAACCGAACTCCCCCTCTCTATATCGACCCAGCGGCCACAACAACCACGACGATCATATCGTATTTTGTCTGGTCCAATGCGATGTTTGCATCTCGTGGATCTGGCGCTGGACTTCTTGCATCTCGATACTTGTCCGTTCGATGGTCGCCTTGCGGTTTCCCTCGCGGTACCAGCGCTCAATGTCCCTCTGCATCTTGTCGACCCGGCGGGTTTTCTTGTCAATGTCGTAGCACAGCTTGCACTTGTCCGCCTCCTGGATCGTGTCGAATACCAACTTCAAGCCGCACGTTTCGCCTGTCCGGTACTCCTTGTTGCATTGTTGTTTGAACTGACCCCATCTCCAATATCCGCAAACCCAGCGCGTTTGGTAGAAATAACACATCTTTTTTCCCTCTCCCCTCTCTTTTGCTGGCTGCTCCCGTTTCCACACCCTTTTTTGGTGTGTATCTTCGACTCGGTAGCCTCCCCCCTTTTTTAGATGTCGTCTCCGGTTTTCGTTGTTCCGTTTCTTCGTTTCTTTTTCCTTCTCGTCTGCCGGTTTTATTCTCCTTGCGGGCCGGTCCGTGGCTGGCTAGCTGGACAAGGTAACTAGCTCGTACGTCGATGAAAAAGTGGTGGAGAACGTCGTTATGGAGGAGGAGTCAAAATGGTAAGGAGGAGAAAATGGAGGAGAAGCAGCAACGCAACCCGAGAATGGAGTAGAAGTGGCTCGTTTCGGGGTTCTCGGTAACGATATGAAGTCACTGGTGACGGGACTGAAGCAAGATCAAAGGTTTGTTAGCCATCTTCTTATTGATCTTTTCCACCCCTTTTTCGTGTGTGTATTTTTTCCCCTCTGCCTTTCCTCCCCATTCTTGTAGCTCGCCCGCAATGAGCGGTGCCCCCCTCCTCACATCGTCCGCTGCAAATATGCAATACCATGCAGATGCAATGATGTCTTTTGACATTTGCATCCAATCATGGTGCCGCCTTTTCAGGGGTAGCTTATTTTGACTTGTCAAGGGGATTCAACCTGGATGTGGGATGGGCAAAGAAACATGAACCAGGAAGCCGTCTAAGGAAAAGAAAAAGGTCGGGAAGGGGGGAGGGGGTGTAAACAGAATTTTTGTTGAAAGTTGACTGGACTGACTGTCTTGGTGGTATTATTGAGCAACAATGGCCGCGGGAAGCAGCGGGAAAGTGACAGCGGTGGTGGCAGCAAGTGGCAGGCGGCCAGCAACCCGTTTCGGCAGAGGCGAAGAGTTTCGTTCGCAACCGCGATCGAGAAGTCTCTTTTTGGTGTTTGGCGCAAAGGCGGTTGGGCAGCAGCAACTTTCCCTGGAATGATCTGAGGGGTGTGATTAGGGGGCGTGCGTATTTGCCTTTTGTCTGGAACGGGCTTTTCAGGTGAGGATGATTCGTTTCTTTCCGTTTTTGCTGTTGTGTCGTCTCTGACGGTTCGTCTGATATTCTCGGTTTCCCCTTTTGGTGTTGTCGTCTTGGGAGAGGTTGCTTTGTCGTTGACGTACTGTTTCTGCCCACGGAGGTCCTTGTCTACACTTCTTCTTTCGCCTCGTCCTGACTGGAGGGGGAATCAAGGCTAACTTATACTTTGTCAAAAAATCCCAAGGTCATTCATTGGGGACCCGCACGATGTGTTGTCACGACCGGATCGAACGCATACGTCCAGTTTGTCCCATACGTTGCCCCTATACACACACACTACACCACCCTACATTCTACACTACACAACGCACTTACGCACATACATGCGTACATGATGCATATCCCGCTTTCACTAAACGATTGTTCCTATTCGAGATGCTGGAGCAAAGAGGGTTCCAATTGTTTCTCGCCTCCCCTTGCTCAATATACACCTGCATCCGCAGCCACCGAGACGACTACATCCACGGACCACGATCCGCGGCGTCTATTCCGCGAATTATACAATATAGGGGGAACAAGAAGAAAAAGATGTACATGATTATGCGGTTGGCAACTGGCAGCGGCTCGTCATGGAACCGGTCTGGCTGAGCATGCGCAAGAGTGGTTGTCAAATCCGCCCCTGCAGATACAAACCACAGACATCGGACGACAGGACATGCCAGCAGCCGTTCAGCAACGGACTAGGTGGTCTTTCCTGCCTTTGTTCCCCTCATTGGAAACCATGAGACGTGTCTCCTTACTTGCCACGTCGTTGAAATGTTCGAATTGCTTCATCAGGGGACTCGACGTTGTCCGATATTTTCTCCACCTTCAGGGGTTTTCTTGAAGGAGGGGAGTACATGATCAATGGGGAGAAGACGTGTTCAATGGGCGATACAAGGATCCGCGGTCGAGAAGAGGATGTGTTCGTCTGCGGTCAAGGACCGGGGAGAAGAAAGACCACTTCGATGATGTTGGCATGCGTCGGTGATGATGGAAGAAAAGGGGTTGGGAAGAAAAAACCATGATGCGTACCTGTCGAATTCAGGTACGAACTAACGCGTGTGGTGGGTGACATATGCTTCTTCCCCCATGTCTCGTCCATCATTGGGCGTCGATATTCCATGTTCGAACCCGTTCAAACCCCTGGCTCATCTCTCGGTCAATACTAGGTGGTATGGCTATATGGAATAATGGCAGTAGGTATTCTTCCTTTTTCCCCGTTCATGGCCTTTTCAATACCTGTGCCAACCCGTCTGGGCTGCTATGCAAGGCAACACACTGGCAAGGCGGACGGAAGCGCTCCACTACCTTACGAACATGCGTGTGTGAGTGTACTGCAGAAGTCTTGCAGATGAGACTCCCAGGAACAACCCTGAAGTTGGGGAGGGCCTCCCGCTGCGGCCGCGTTGAGCGACAGGGCTAGATTAGCCTCCCGCTTCGAGGCGAGGCTTGCGTGTGGCCGGGGTGGGGGGCTTCATGTCTTGCCCTTTTGAACTTGTCTGTTTTTCGTTCTAGGTTGTGGTCATAGTTCGTCCCACAGGAGACAACTGTCAGCCCAAGAAGGCTGGTGGGGGTGAGGAATCTTCGGCCGTTGCGTCCAGAAGCGAAGGCCTTGGCGGGGGCCGTTTGGAAGCCGGCATGAACCGTTTCACTTTTTGCTGTACGGAAAAGCTCGTTGGGCATAGTTTCTGCATCAATATTTGAGTGTGTTGAAGAAGAGCAAGAAGCTCCTTCAGAGATGGAACAATCGAAGAAGCCAGCACGACACCCATTAGAACATTTTGCCTGCCGGGGGCGTCATTGACGTGACATGGGCTGCAAGGTTGACAAGACCCTCGCCACCGTCCACCGAGACCAGCATCGGCCAAGTTGAGCCTAATTGAGTCTGGGGTTGACCTCTGACCAGGTACGAACGTCTTCAAGGGGGAAGAGAAGTTACCTTGATATTGGGCACGGACGGACAGGATGATAACTATCCCACCCCGGATGAAGCCAGCTCAACATGCAGCCAACACCGATCTCAATACAACAGGTGCTTGGAGTCTTGCCTCCAGAACCAAGCTTGCTGGAGCCGGAAGCCCGTTTCCTGAATCCTTGATTGACGAATCATCGAACTGAATGACCATCCATGCTAGATGCATGATGTGCCTGTCTGGATAGGGATGTTCCTCTTGTCTCGCCTCACCGGGGATGACCCCCCTTTTTTGAACGGGCCGGAGGCATCCTCTCGTCAATCATGCGGGCTACACTGCGCATCCAGATAAACCGTTTATGGAAGTAGGAAATACCGCAGGCCGTTCCCCTCACATGAATCTTTACGCTTATCCTGTTGAGGGTGATCCGTCTTGCTCGCTCGCTCACCGGCCCGGTCTTGGGTTACGGTGGGTGAAGGGAGTCGAGAACGGTCCTGAGGAAAGCCATTTGGGCGCTGGTTGCGGCCCTGGGCAGGGCAACGTGGCGACCGGCCGCTGGCCATGGCCGGATGTTCCACGCTGCATTGCATTCGGTTTGCATCAAGGCTCCGTCAGAGAAAGCAAGTGTAGGTACCTATCATGTAGACTCGAAATACATGAATGGCATCCCTGAGATGGACTGCTCTGCACACTCCCCTCCACGGCCGCCATGTCCTTGTACGCTCTCTCTTTCTTGTCGATCAGGCATGCGGGATCGTGATTTCTCATCTGCTGTTTAGCCTGTCCTCCTCGGCGCTCGACTGGTGGCTTGCCAGCTCCACCGGGCAATGCCTTCCGGTGGCATCCTATTGACTAGGCTGGCAGTGTCCCTACCATCTGCAGCTCACATATTGACAAATGGGTGCGTTCATTGGGGGAACACGACGTCCACTCCCCACGTTGACAGGATCATGAGAGGAAGGTGTAACTAGACGGCAGATCTACGACCGCCATGAGCGGCCGTGGCAGGGCTTTGATCGTCAGGCATAACCTTGCATGAGACAGACAGGATTGTCGAGAAGGGAAGTGCCTTAGCTGCCTGCCTTACTGAATGACAGGCCGAGGGAACATCAGGCTCCCGCGAAAGCGACCTGGCCCAGCCTGGGCCGGAGCGGGGACTTGATCTGATCCTTTGCAAGTATCCATGTCTTGGCATGTGGAATGACATGAACTACGGGCGCGGGCCAAGCGGCCCCGCGAACACCTCAACGTCGGCTCGACCCTTGCGACGGCTATTGGGGGTTCACTGGTAGGGTACTCCCTGCGTGAGCTATCGATGCGTTGTCAACTGGGAGCGCCGCTTACGGAAACGCTTGCGCTCGCGGTTGCGGAGGCTGTCTTGATGAGACGACGCGAGACGCCGTGCTCATACCACCAGTTCATCAACCTTGAAAGATCGGGTACCGGACCAAGATGGGCGACAACGCTGCCACCCTCCCCCCCTCTTTGTGGCTTTGGCGAAACTTCTGCCAGCGGGGCAAGGAAGAAATTTTTGTCTGGAGAAAGAAAATGAGCGTAAACATGGCCCGAAATAGCGGCCAAGCGTAGTTCTAAGGCCGAGTGACCCGTGTTGGGTGTGGAGGTAACAGTCACCGGTGAGGTCGACCGACACCGGCCAGGCTCGGAAGGCTTCGCCCTTGACGTGAGCCGGATGGACAAACGGGCCGTTCCGTTTGCCGATGGCAAGATTTCCAGCAAGTTGCCGTTGGGAGAAACACCCACGACAATGCTTGGTGAATTGAGGTGAGGTGGTATGGAAGGCGGTATGTCGTGCGACAGGGCGTCCGCTCATCATGAGAAATGCCATGTTACCACTTGAGAACGGCAGGGTGAAAGAGGGCTAAGACGACTCTAGACACTTGTGCAGAATAAAGGCCAATCAGACGCTCCGGGTTTTACGGGAAAACTCCGCAAGCCAACCCGAGTTCTCGGGATCATGCGAATCATGTGTTGAAGAATCGCTACGACTTTCTCTGAGGCACGATTGGACACCAGAGGCGAGACGACACGGAGATTAAGGCCA